TTTTCTTTATATATATTGTAATTAAACATATTTACTAATCCCAAATAAAGCTTCCCGTTCCTGGTTTTAGCGCGACTACGTCGCGCAGCTACCTAATTAATTAACATAAAACAGACTACATATAAAATGATCGGCAAAAATTCTCACGTACAGTACGTACAGTACGTACGTATAGTACGTACAGAACTATACGCGGCACATCACTAGATATGATGATCATGAAGATATCACTTGGTTCCTTGTTCTTGAAACTTCCCAATAAAATTATATTAAAACAAATCAAATTTAAAATAAAACTATACTTAAAAAACAAATCGTGTTTAAAATGGGACTAACAAAACAAATCAAGAAAATACAATAAACAAAAAGCATTATTGAATAAGTAACAAAAATTCGGTCATTCCGCAGAGTTGTAAATACAACTAGCATTAGAGTCCGTCATCATATTACGGACTATAAGGTATAGAATAAACGCTACAAAAATGTTACGCGAATATTGCAGAGACTGTTATCTTATATAAAGAGACCATCGGGGCTATATACGTATGAAATTGTTAGATCTGTATTACAACTGTTTCTATAAATTCTGAACCACTTAATAATGACCGAAGTGATAAGTTTTTGACATCGGCCAATATCGGTAACTTATTTATTCTGACTCAATAACTTACCGATTCGGTTACTGAAAATATAAAAGCAGTTGAAACACCGACTATATGGAATCTTTACTGACGGAAATCAAAAGTTTTTTGCAATTAGATTCGGCACGGGATACGTTATGCGTACGAATGTTACACGAATATGCATGTCTGATTCCCGTGCAACATTTCAATTTCTTGCCGCAATGAAACTTTTCTAAATGCACTCTTAAATCCTGGTCCAATTATATAACTTGACCTCTATTTTTTATCATCCTCTAAATGTATGCTGTAAAAGTTTGGTTCCTGTATGGTGCATTTAGAGTAACGATTTAATGCTATTCTTTACACTACTTTTTCATTTTTGTTCTTTTAGTACATGATCTTACATGTATTCGAAATTCTTTTAGGGTAGTTAATTTACCCGATCGATTTCTATTCTGAGATGTTACCCCATTTGATTAAATTGGCTAATTGAGTGAATTTATATCCTTGATTAATGCAAAGATTCTACTTTTTTAACATTCGCTTAATATGATAATTAGGGGGAGTTCTCTCTGAAGGATACGAAAGAAATATCGGGTTTGCCAATCAATTTTGAACGAATTTACCTACTTTTAAATACTTTTAAATACTTGTAAATTGATAATTTCTGATTAGGGGTGTCCGAAATTTGCTGGCAATACCTATAATAACAATAATCGCGAACTTATAAGCAATAGTTATATCCCGGATAGTTGAGTATAACTAAATTTATCCTTTGCTATCTGCTATCCACTTAACATAACTTTTATGTACAGTACTGCTTTAGAGCGAACCCTTTATTTTACGCATTGTTTTTGACATTCAAGATTAATTAGGTGATATTTCTGGATAATCCTGGTTATTTGAATGTGTATATTATCGTGGAATGACTTGTGGTAAAACCTTGAGCAAAAGGTTTTTTTAAAATGGACATTTTGTTATTTAGTGTATTAATATATTAATATATGTACTATATATATATTTATATTTAACTATTATTTTTTATATATATATATTTCCGGCTTGATTATGGCTTAAACTTATTTTTTGGTTCTATTTCAGGTTTGGATTTAAATCTTCAGTTATTTAACTGGCCAATTTATATATTTTAACTATATATTATCGGAATAAAATAGAATTATTTAGTTTGCAGATCTAATTTATTATTAATATATATTACTTTATAGAATGTTCTAGTTTACTAACTATTTACGAAAATGTATCACGGAAACCTAGTTTTAACTTGACCTGGGCATACGTATTGATAACCCTGTGTCTTATAAATGGTTAAAAGCAAAAAACAAAGCAAATAGTTAAACCGGATTAGTTAATGCATAAATTTCATTTTAGTATAAACTAAAAGCCATTCTCATTATTTGTTTTTAAAAACAGGTTTTGAGTCACAATTGACATGCTATGTACTCAAAAACTTACTTCGTACGTAACATTTTAACTTTGTATGTAATAGTGATAACTTGCTACGTTTTAAAGCAAGTTCATAAGGTCGGTAAATCATATTATGCATTAGAATGTGAATTATTTATTCATAGCGCATAATCAGCGCATAATCAGAATTCTAAAGCATATACTTTGTTTACATGCATAAATAATAAAAATAGGAATTTATATTTTGTACCTGTTAAGTATAAATTATGATTATATATAGTCAAAAAAAAAGAGAAATAATTTCGGAAATTCCATTTACTATTCTTATCATTATATAATATATACTGTATATTTCATTGTCATATCCTAAGCGCCGAATGTGTGAGAATGTTGTAGCGGGATACTTCTCCGGAGCACTTTGTTTTTCATTTTTCATTTTAATCATTGTATCACGCCAACAGGTTACCAGCCTGCCATTTACATAGTTATTGTTTCTAAATATGACCTAACTAATAGTGAAAAAAGTATAATAAAAACATGTCAACCACAGTTTGGTGTAATCAAACGTTTCAATTTTTTTTAATTCGTATCATTCAATATGGCTCTTAAGAGAATTAATAGAGTAAGATAATTTTTAGATACTAAAATGTTTTTGACTATTATTTTATTGAACTTTAAAGAATTTTATTAATGATGCTAAAACATTTATGGGATATTATGAACGTTTCATAAATTGTTTTTTTTTTGTTTTTTTTTAATCGTTAGGAATTGCAAGAAATAGAGCGAGATTCACCATCATTTTGTAGTGCTGGCCCGATTGGTGAGGATCTATATCAATGGCAAGCCACGCTTTTGGGACCTGTAAGTACTTATTTCCCTTTTGATGTATCCTTAAACGTCATCATCTTATCACAAAACTATTTATATTCATAGGATGATGGTCCATACGCTGGGTGATTAATGACTTTAATGGTGGGTAGAGTAATGATTTTAATAATGGGCGCTGGTGATTTTAAAAATGGGTAAGTAATTTGAACAGCGAGTGAATTTATTATTTCAACAGTAGATCGGTTAGTGCTTTTAATATTAATGGGTTAATTTTAGCGTTAAGTAAATTAGTAATTTAAATAAGTAAGTCAATGAGTGTTTACGATACGAGTAATGATAAAGATTTTAGCAATGGGTGGATTCCAGATTTTGTAGTGTAAATTCATGACTTAGCAGAGATTTTA